AGGACGCAGGGCAAACGAACTTCACGACCTAACATCAGGCAGGATGGAGTCTGGCCTGTAGTTTCATTCACGGTCGAGCGGTAGGCCATTAGGAATAAATGAATGTGCTGGTCCCAATCTCTTTGATATTCTGATACAACTTTGGACAGGTGTTTACCCATCGTTTGGTCTATCCTCTCGACCATTCTATCTGATTGAGGATGTAGGGGTGTCGTTCTGATCGTATTGACGTTAAGTTTACAAACGTTTTGGAAAAGGGTTGACTCGAAGTTTTGCCCTTGATCGGAGTGGATCTCTAAGGGAACACCAAATCGGCTAAAAAATTATTTAACAAGTACCTCTGCAACGGTAGAGGCTTCTTGATTTGGTATCGCATATGCCTCAGTCCATTTCGTAAAATAATCATTGGATACCAGGATATATTTATTTCCATCACTTGTCTCTGGAAGTGGACCTGCAATGTCGATTGCTACTCTTTCTATAGGACTACCAACATCGTACTGTTTCATGGGTGTCCTCTTTTTACCAACTGGACCATTACTGGTTACACACAGTTCACATTTCCGGCACCATCTTCTTATATCATCTTTACAGGTCACCCAATAGAACCATTCTCGAACCTTTTGCAGAGTCTTTACTTTTCGGTACAATCAACTGAATCTTAGATTCTGTATCGTTATTGTTCTCAAAGGTTCTATACAGAAGATCATCTTTTAGCACTAGGCAATTCCATTGGCTCCAGTAACACTTGACTTCGAAACTACATGCATTAATGTCTTGCTAAGAAGGTCTTTCACTTCGACGCATCCAATCCAATACTATTTTTATACATGGATCATCTGCTTGAGCGTCTTGTAGCTGTTGAGGCTGCCATTGATACTTAAGCGGAGTTTACATTGGTATAGTTACTTACACCAGTTACTTGTACAAGTATATCCAGGACAGTTCACATACGCAAGTTGACATGCTAGTAAGTGTTTACACATAAAAGATTATTTATTTACCAGTTCCCGACGAGCACCAGATGCGTAAAGATGAAACATTTCCATTGCCGGTGCCGTGCTTTGTGCAATAATCCAAAATTAATAATTAAAAATCGCATTAAAAAAATTATGTTGCGAATATCGAGAATTTTAATTGAAGAAGCTATTAATTTGATTGAAGAAGAAAAATGTCGCCCTGTAACGATAAGAGTTCTTTATCGTTACTGAAAATTTTAAAATAACTTAATTCTGCCTGTAAAGTATGCAACCAACTATACATGTAATGGTGTTATCAATTGTTTGTCGATTGGTCAAACTGCCTACCTGCCGTTTCCGTTTACCTTGGAGCTGACGGAAGCCAACGAAGTTAAAAGTGTAAGAAGGCACTTTATATCCAGCCTTTGAACGGGACAGAGGACTGATTAAATCCAGCGGCCAACGCACGTGGTTTTCAAGTTAGCCGAAAAACCTTTTAAGTTATTCAGAGGTCAATTATTTAAGTTACAGAAGGCGTTTTGTTTTAGTTTAGAAGTTTTGGGTGAGTTTCATTTTAATTAAAGTAAATGATTTTTTTTAACCATTACTAGTTTCATATTTATATCATTTATTCAATAATTTTACCCTAATTATATCAGTCAAATCACGTTCAGAATTCTTTCTGTTAGAAATTCTCCTAAGTACACGTTCTCATCAATATCCAAGCAATTCGGTAATGTAAAGAGATCCTTCATTACTCTTTGCCTATAATATATTCGTTAAGATATGTTAAATTTCAATTCTTCTTTGAAATATTTATAGTTAAATCTTAACATTATTTTTATAAATACATAGTTTTCAATTAATTTTCCAAGGTCACAAAAAGTAAATTACTATTAAACTGGGAATAAGCCACAATTAAAGATAAAAATACGTTTATTGACGTTTCAATTTCCACTTCGGAAATCGTTCTCAAAATACAAACAGTAAATTAAACAAATTTTGTTTTTTGTAACATAGTGAAAAATTCTTCTAATAATTTAATTTTATCTGACTTATTTATATTGACAATTCAGACATACATTATGCATTTTAAAGTAGACGACTTTAAAATGATATTGCCAATATTGTTGAGTTGCGCTCCTGGGACGACTTTACTTATAAGATAGTTCATTCGATTACACGAAATCAACTCTAACTTGAGAATATCCGTCAGAAAAAAAATCATAGCATGTAATTCGTCTTTAAAAAGACAAATACATGACATGTATATTGTTTTTACAGGGACCTGGTCCCAAGTGATCTAGCTACTATTTGTTACAGTAGCGCCCAAAGTGGGACAAAATAAAAATTTTGTTACAATTTTTAAAAGAAGAAGTACAAGAGGGGCATCCACTCTTTTTTTTAAAATACCTTCGTATGAAAGATCCTGAAGAATATAAATTATGCCTTCGGTTGACAACGATAAATTCAAATACTTGCTAAATATGGTTCTGCCTAGAATTTAAAAAAGTGACACGCTTTTAAGAGACGCCTTACCAGCGCACGTTAAATTAGAAGTTACCCTCAATTTTTTGACAACAGGAAATAGCTATATAAGTCGTTAACATTTTTTTCGAGTTCCTTAGTATTGAAACATTAATATCTAAGGTTGTACCAGAAGTTTGCAACGCAATTTCAGCAACAGTAAATCCCTCAACGCCCATGTGTTGAACTAATTGTTCTAATGCTGCCGATCTCAATTGATTATTTCTATAACTTTGTTTGGTAACGTTCCAGAGACATTCGTGTTCCTTATAAAGTTCGACAAATTTGACAGTTTCTCCCTCGGACCACTTCATTATTTTACTTTTAACAGTAAAATTTAACAATATCGAAATAGAAAACCGCGACACTGCTCTCACAACGTTATTTGCCAGGCACTTGCACACCCGTCTACACTCGACTAGTTCCCAAACCACTTGCCATGCTACTTGCGTCGAGGCCAAAATGTGGTGGAGAGGGAAGGACAGTAGGCAAGTAAATAGATGGGCTAGCTATTTACTTACCTGTCCTCGCTACTGGTACAAGCACTTGTACAAGTACTTACCCGGAAGGTTGACATTGGGTTAGTTGTTGCCTTACAAGCTACTGGTACAAGCAACTAACCTGTTTACTATACCAATGTAAACTCCACTTTAATGACGATGGTTCGTCTCACGGGGTACAGTCGTTCTTCTAATTCAAGGCAATGATTACGATTTGCACTGTATGGCCGTCTTGACTGAGCATCAGCATTTGAATGACTTTTTCCAGCTCAGTGTTCAATCTGTTCTAGCTTTCTGACTGTTGTGTTATTTTCTTGCAGTTTACGACGAATGTGACCTACTTCGTTACAATTCCAACATCTGGGTTTACGTCTCTTCGGCATCATATTACGAACTACTTTCCGTACGATTTCCTTCAGACTTTTATAGTTTTGTACGTCGCTCTTTTCAGAGGTTAGTACTCGATAGCTCCGTAAAGCTCGACTAGCTGTCTCCTGTTCCAAGGCAATAGCGAGCGCTTAATCTAAAACTTTCGGTCTTGCTAGTCGTAAAGCTTTCTGTAGTTTACTGTCTTTCAATTTATTGATGAAGGTATCTACAGCAATTTCTTCCAATATGTTGTCTGTTGCCTCTGGATAAGCCAACAGCGCTATACGAGCAAACATCTGCTTCAAATTCTTGCAAACTCCCACTTTCTCGTTGGATTCTACTTCTTATTTGTACTTTGTAGACTTGTTGTAGGTGGGCATCTCCGTAACGTTTATCTAGTCGAGTGAACAAGGTCTGGTAACATTTTTCTTGACCCTTAGGAATTGATCTTAGGATATCTGCAGCATCACCTCGTAAAGCTGCAGTCAAGGAAACACCTTTTTCTTGTTATGTCCAATGATGGCTGTCGCAATAGCTTCAAATTGTCTAAGATATATGGACCAAGAAGACTTTCCATCAAATGGTAACAATTTGAATCTCATATGATGTGTCGTTTCGTTTCTAGGTGATTCTTCTTTTACTACCGGATCTAAAGCTACTGCATTAACTGGTGGTAGCATTTTGTATTAGTTATCATACTTTCCAGCTGTTTTATCTTCTTCTTTCTTCTTTCTTCTTTCTACCTTATCGAATGTTTTAGAAACTTTGTCAAATTTTTCATTGTTCTGAATACATACTTTGTCGAATGTTCTAGACATATTTTCTAATTTCTCGTCGTTTTGTCTAGCTGTTTCTTTAATAATTTGAGACGTTTCTTCAATCATTTAAGACGTTTCATTGAATCTTTTGAAAGCAGTCTCGACTTTTCCATCAATTATTTTAGTTAAAATGGCTTCTTCTGCTGATTGAAATTGGAATGTCTCTGAGTCGTCTCCATTCTTGTTGAGAACAGTCTTTAGTCGCTCTTGGAGTATCTTCTTGGACCCACTGCTCTAGTTGCGAAAGTTCTACTAGCAGCATCTTTGGTCAGGCACACACGAACTTTTTAAATGTTCTTTGGTACAAAGATCACTACCGAACTACGCAGATGTTTTCGATGAACAATACTTTTCAAAAGTTCAAAAGTTTTTTCAAAAGTCACTACTGAATTTATTTTAAAATCTCACACCGGACACCAACTGTATCGTTCTTAAATAGAACGAACGTTTCGAATTTATATAAATATATTTATTTATAAGTTTACAGTTCGGTAATATCTTATTAACGCAAAACTACTTATAACATCGTTATATATACCAAAAGTATTATTCTAGAATCATCTGCAGTAGTCCCACCTCTAATTCGTTGTTTAACGGTTGGATTTCTACAGCGCTCGTTACGTCGCCGGAAAATTCTAGTCTCTTTAGAGATGCAACCGTTACACGGGCCACGCCGAATGCATGTTCGTAACAGTATTTTCGATAAACACATAATACATACAACAACAAAAATAAGCACATCTCATTTGCTAATAAAGATATGCATCTATGTTTAAAAATACATATGTATTTGTAATTTAATTTTTATGTCTTTATATTTATTTCAGAGGAATCTTCTGGTCCTACTTCTGATGACGACTTCTTTCTATGCGAGCCCTTATCCACTGATATTCCAAAAACAGTTGATCTCAACTCACCTGATAGCATAAACGAAGGAATAGTTTCTACTCTAAATGTCCTTTCTCCAACCAAAGTAGATCCGGCAGTCCGAAGACATCCTTCCCCCTATTATTACGGAGATTTATATAAATATAAGACTACAGAAAGTAGCCCTCCAGTATGGAAAGCTGAAAATAAAGGCAAGCTAGCTCAGAGTCTTCGAGAGCCAGACTCTAAGCCAAGCGTTACTCATAAAAGAACTAAAAGTTATCGAAAATTTCGGAAAAGTTCTAGCTTAGAGAATCCTATTGAAGCCAAGGATCGAACAGTTAGACCTAAAGTTAACATCAGATATAAGAAGAGCTCCAGTGTAGAAACCCAAAGCATCGATTCAAGGTAATTTCGAAACCATTATATATTATAATAAATGAATTAAAAATCAAATTAACTAAATACATAGTTTATTCACGCTAAGATACAAGTTATATAGTTACCGACAACAAATATTTAAAAAGAATAAATTATATCACCATTAAAACTTTGTATATTTATCGTAGTTATTTAAAAAACACATAATAGAGCAGAGCGGATCTGTTTTGAGGTGGATTTGTGAGATGTCATTCGGATTTTTGCAGAAATAGTTAGATGATAACTTCAGAAATAATAATTCATTTTTCCTTCCTTTCAGATATGTCGGAAATATTAATAAAAAAGTAAAATATTTAAAAATTTCTAAAAGCATCGATTTTTTTTTCTAATTTCCGTACTTATAACTTTAAAACAATTTATTTTAAAAGTCTTAATCTACATATTACTCTTGCTGCAAAATACCTATAAATACAAAAAAGAGGGGGAAATAAGTCTTTTATTATTCAATATTTTTCAACCATTTATATTCCACTTCACAATTCGTCTTTAAAATCTTTAATAAAACAGCCCATAAAATTCCATTTAAATCAATTTAACAGATTTCGCATAATTTTATGAAATCTGTTAATCAAATTAATCAAAAAATCAAAATATTTTTAAAATTGTATTTTTTTGTTACAACAAAAAACCATACCAAACCGTTTCCGAAGTTATATATATATATATATATATATATATATATATATATATATATATATATATATATATATATATATATATATATATATATTGACCACTACAGGTCTTTTTAATCTCAAACTACTTTGCGGAGGTTTTTCGATTAGCAGTGTTTCTAATATTATTACTTATATTTTTCCTAATTGTATTAGAACTTCCTTTTATGGTTTATCTTATTTTGTCTACCATTTTGCACTGAATAAACCTTCTATTTCATCTTTTAATACCCACCAGTACATTGATTGTGATTTTCTTGGATATTTTGGTTTTGGTTCGCTTCTTACTCAAATATCTAAAACAAGCAGCTTATGGTATTGGCTCCCATTCTCACTAACTATTACCTCGCAGTTAGTAAATTTGACGCATACCTATCTTTGTTTCTCGCCATGAAATAATTTATTTGAGAATGATTTTGTCTCTCTTTGTATATGATAAGTAGTTATCTTTCCCTCTTTCGAACAAATATATTAGTTATCGCCATATATAATGCTGTTACCAATATGTCATTTTCAACATTATTTCTAGTTCTAAATCCTATTTATGTATGTATTACTTAATATAATATCTTGGATGAACCTACATGTGCAATAAAATCACCTCCTATTATGACTCTCCGCTGTGATGAAATATCTCTAAGTATATCTCCTACTATTGTTCTGAAGATATTTTCTTCTTACATTTTAATATCATTTACCATCATTAATGGGAATTAACCACCTAAATTCACTTCACATTTCTCTAAATTCGCTTCTTATAAAATATCGTAAATAGTATATCTCCTAATTGATTATAGAAAGTGTAGAGGATAAATTTATTACCAAACTTTCCACATTTTACAGAGGCATAGTTGAACCCCCAATTGCTTCAAAATATTTATTAAGAACCACTGAAGCAATTAAACACTTAAAACGTATTTCTCTTCGATTTATTTATAGTGACTGACCTTAAGTGCTGATTCTACATTGACAAGCAAAACACCGGTTCACGTTAGCGTATCTCTGACCCACGGACTTTTCTGGATCGCCAACACACCCCTTCTTCACTTGTCAAGAGGCAAATTCGCACTGTCCTTGTCCTAAGTTATATAACGCGGAATGGAGAGAGATTATGAGGCTGTTGGTAGCACACATATTAACACGAGAGCTGACGAGCTGAGGGAACAAGTTGATAAAATAACTATATTGAAATTTGCAATATTATAAATAGGTTCTTGTTACAACATACTGCGCCTCGTTGAAGCACTAGCTTTAACATTATAAAAAGCATTAAAAAAGAAGTAGAAGAAACTAATAATCCTTCACTAGAAAGGGGCACAATTTTGTTATCGTGCGTTTGAAAATCTCATCCTTAGTTTTAACCGATACAATTCGTACTCAGCCATCTTTACCTGAAAAGACTTCCATCACTCATGCCAATGACCAGTAGAGAGGAGGGAGGTTGCAAATTTTTTACTGGGGAAACCATTTTGGATGATTTTGAAGTCGATTCAGATAATCAATCGACCACTTTTTCCAGAAAAGTTGCTGGAGCTTTTGTTAGATGCTAAGTCTATTTTCTGGGATAGATGTATACTCCTACTTGGGGAATGAGGTGTGTGACTTTCCAATTAAAAAGTGACCACGAGTAAGATATGCGAAATCGTAGGGGTCATAAGAGAGGGCACAAATGGGACGAGAATTAAGTACGGCTTCAATTTGGGCTAGTACAGTACTGAATTCCTCGAATGTTATTTTTTGACTATATAATAATCTATAGATTATTGCCCAATAATCTATAGATATGAAGTTTAGCGCTCTCTTAAAGTCCTCCATGATGAGAACATTAAGGTGGTACTGTTTTCCACTGAATTTAAGAGGAGGCTAAAAATTTCTGAATAGAAAAGTTAGTTGTCTTATTTTTCAAAAAATTATAGAGTTCAAATAGCTGATTTTTAGCTTCAAGAAAGTTGATTGCATTATCAGAGAATATGGTCTGTGGGAGACCTCTTCGACTGATAAAGCGCTTAATAGTAAAGAGAAACGCTTTTGTTGTGAGCCCACTGACTAACTCTATATGAACTGCACGTGTGGACATACAGATAAACAGAGCTATGAATAACTTTATCAAGGGATTTTTACAAAGTTCTAGAGGTCTTTATTAGAAAGGGACCACCAAAATCCAAACCTACATAAGCAAAAACTTGAGCGGAGTATAACCGTTCCTTAAGTAAATCAGACATTATTTTGATCTAAGGGTTTGGCATCAAACTTGAAACAAACGACATTCGTGGACCTCTTAACCTTCCGTAGACCATTCAAGGGCCAATATCTAAGGCGCAATTAAGAGAGAGTATTCTGAGGGCCTGCATGATGGAGCCTAAGATGTTTTTTTTGAGAATTAGACGAACAACATGATTTTTCGAGCGGAGCGGGAGAGGATATTTTTAATCAAAGGTAACTTCGGAATACCTAAGACGTTCACCTACAAGAAGAATTACATTTTTGTCAAGAAAAGAAGAAAATTGTAAAAGAGACTTGTTAGAAATAATCATATTGCCTTTGAGATCAGCGATTTCTGAGGAAAAACATGAGATTTGCAATAATTTTATAATTTTCATTTCAGCATTTTGAAGTTGAGACACTTCAAGTGCACCGGATAATTTTTAAGTGCCAAATTTTACATTGTTAGCAAATCTGAGTATAGGCCTTACATACTTCGTACAACTGGAGAACTTTTAGAAAGCATGGCAAAAAAATCAAATTGAGCACTTCGAGTATTAAGAATAATTTTTCTTTCTTCAGGTAATTTATTAGAATTAAACTTCGGACTATATTCAGACAAATTTAGGTAAAGTTTTTGCAAAAACGGAGGACCCTGAAACCACAAAGTGGAGTTGAATATATTAGAGGTCTTCATTTCTCTGGAGAGGATGTCAGCAGGGTTGTCTTTAGACTTTACGTATCTCCAATGAGAGTGAGAAGAATTTTCATGAATTTGAGCTACCCTTGTGGCGACAAATTGATTCCATCTGGCGTGATGCGATCTGAGCTATACCAAAACTATTTCAGAATCGCTCCACATGCTTGTAGAGGTAATAGAGGGCAGTTTATCGTTTATGATATCAACCACCTTTTTGGTGAGCTTGCTAACCAATAAAGCAACCATAAGTTCCATCCTTGGAAGCGTTATGGTTGCTCTTCGAAGCAATAAGAGAGCATGAGACATTTTTTGATTTGTACATAATCCGTATATAACAACAAGCAGCATATGTTTGTAGAGGAAGTAGACATATTTTCCAAAAACATTTTTGAGCTAGAGCACCATTTGTGAAGATAAATGCGTACCTTGTTGAGTAGGCCAGTTATCTCAAATTGACCCTTTAGGATAATTTGCGTGTCATTCGCCCCATATAGAATGTCGTCTTCTAATTGATTATAGAAAGAGGAGAGGATAAATTTATTACCAAACTTTCCACATTTAAGAGAAGCATAGTTGAACCCCCAATTGCTTCAAAATATTAATTAAGTACCACTAAAAAAATAAAACACTTAAGACGTATTTTTCCTTCGATTTATTTATAGTGACCTTAAGGGTTGATTCTACATTAATAAACAAAACACCGGTTCACGTTAGCGCATCTGTGACTCATGCACTTTTCGGGATCGTCAGCACTGTCTTTACTTGCCGAGAGGCAAATTCGCACTGTCCTTGTCCCAAGTTATATACCACACATTAACACGAGAGCTGACGAGCTAAGGGTACAAGTTATTAAAATAACTATATTACGATTACAATATTATAAATAGGTTGTTTTCACAACAGAATGCTTTGTTTTCATACTCACTCAAACTAACTTGTGTATACACATATAACATTCAACACTTTTTTGTCAACTACAAATTTCAATGACACTATTATTCATTTTTAAAACTTTCACTACGTTATCAGTCATTATAATATTTCCACTCCTGTGTATTTTTCCAACATACCACAATTTATATACTTCATCATCAATTTCGTCTGTTAAATGCAAACAATTTTTACTCTTCTTTTCGTACTTAAGTCTGTTAACTCCAAACTCTTACCTTTAAGATGACACCATTACAAGATCCTATCTTGTTTTTTAGGCCCCCTTCCCGTGTTTGCTTTCGGACAGCAAATATTTTACCCCAGGAGATATCATCATTTTAGAATAATATTTGTTATATTGAAGAAAGTCTTTTTTGGATGGTACTGTAAACAACAAAATTATAAAGAATCAAAATTGTATAAAGAAGATCTAAAAAGATCAATAAACCTACTTTTATACTATTTTTATTAGTCCTAATTTGTTGTCATTATTCTAATTTATTGTCTTTATTCTAATTTACTGTCTTTATTCTAATTTATTAAAACTCACGATAATTTATCAAAAGTCTTTATTTTATACTAATTTATTTTACACTTAATAATTACAAATAATTTATTTGCGTTCGAACAATTTTAAACCGATATCGCGAGCTTCTTGTTGACTAACTGTCCTCAATGAGAATCCCCGTTATTTATTTGAAACGCCGTTATCTGGAAGGATCTGGCGTGAAGTAGATGGAAGTTGAAATGAATAGTCTCGAACCTGTTTCCAGAAAGATCGAGGAGTAGTTGACCGCTTTCATATCGAAGGGGGACATATAGTGTCAGGTAGATTTTTTACCTGCGTCTCGGCCGGTTCGTGATCTAGAAAATACGTGATTGGTCATAATGTATTTACAGTTTTTACACGTCATAATATACTCATTATTTATATCGTAACATTGCCCCCCTCTTAAAAGATGGTTCCTCCTGAAACCTTGTCGGGACTGGAACTGGAACGGTATGCTGGTATCGGCAACTGGACCTCCTTTTACAACTTCCAGTTGTATAAAAATGACAAGGGATGGTTTTCTCTCCGCACCAGGAACTATGCGGATTGCAACAGACTAACACCTGGACTTCGGTGTCTTTAAAGATCTCCTCCACCATATTTCGTATAACTCTCCAATCTAATTGGCGGCACTTCAACTTTGGCATGGCTAACTTTTGCACGTCGGACTCTAGTACGTGCTCTCTGAACTGAAGTAAGGCTTCCCATACATCTCGGTAGGTAGGTTGGTCACGGGCAGTGTCTTTTGTTACCAGGTAGAAAAGGTAACGTGATACATCTTGGAGTTTCAAGGCTTTTCCGGGAGCTGGCACTTGGCATTGAAGTTCTGCAACTCGACCGAACTTCCTTCAAAAGACGGATGCCAACCCTGGTGCGTCTTTGATACTGGCCGGGATGGTAAGGGCCAGTGAGTAGTCATCGGAAAGCGCGAGTAGATCTTGCCTTTCTTCAGTGGTAACACCATGTTTTGCTTTACCGGTACCTCCATAGGCACCCATGAATTCCTCAAACGTGAGGTCAGACACATCTTGGACTTGGTTTACTTCCACTTCTTCATCTACGTCGTGGTCACCTTCGAAAGACGCCAGCCGGTTATGGTATACTATCATCGGCTTTCCTCTCGGAATCTTGCATATTCGGTTAATGACATCATTGATCTTCTCCATAATGAGGTATGGACCTTCCCAAAACTGCTGCAACTTGGGAGAACAGCCTTTTCGCTTTTTGAAATTATAAAGCCAGACTTTGTCGTTCTTCTTAAAACACCCCTTTTCGGCTTGCGTATCGTACCGTTTCTTCATCCGGTCACTAGCGATCTGTCACCATCTGATCACCATCTTTGTCAAATACTTGCCAACTGTCCTATTCATTCGCTCTACCATACCATCCAATTGCGGATGATAAGCCGTAGTTCTTGGTTTCTTCATACCTAGTCTATCACATATCCCTTGGAATAGATCGCTTTCGAAGTTCCTGCCTTGGTCACTATGGATCTCCAAAGGCACTCCAAATCGGCTGATATATTCTTGGATCAACTTATCTCCAACGGTGGCCGCCTTCTGGTCTGGAAGTGCGTAAATCTCGACCCACTTAGTGAAGTAATCCATTACTACCAACATGTACTTGCCTCCATTATCACTTTCTGGAAATGGCCCAGCAATGTCCAAAGCTATTCTTTCAAATGGGCTTCCAACATTATATTATCTCATAGGAGCTTTCCTTTTTCGATAAGGCCTGTTACTCGTAGCACAAATAGTACATTTCTTACACCAGTCTTTTACATCATCGGAACTGTTCATCCAATAAAACCGTTCCCGAATTCGCTGAAGGGTCTTCTTCACACCAAAATGCCCTCCTGATGGACTGTCGTGTAACTGACGAAGTACTTCGGCTATTCTGCTCTTTGGAATCACCAACTGTCTTCTCTTCTCTGAACCGTCATCATTTTTCAGGACTCGTTTGAGCAAGCCATCTTCCATGATAAATGAGTCCCACTGGGCCCAATACCTCTTAACAACTGAGCCTAGGTTCGATATTTCTTGCCAAGGTGGTCGACGGTTTTCCTCTTTCCATTTTCGGATTTTTTGTATAACTGCTGGACATGGCCTTCTGGATAGGGAATCAGCGTTTAGGTGGCTAACTCCGGCCCGGTGCTCAATCTTAAAATCATATTCTTGGAGTCGTTCGATCCACCTGGCAATCTGACCCTCTGGATTCTTAAACTGCATCAACCACTTAAGGGTGGCATGGTCGGTTCGGATTAAAAACTTCCTTCCATAGAGGTATTGATAGAAGTGCTCTACTGATTTCACTACTGCCAGAAGTTCCCTTCTCGTGACGCAATAATTCCGCTCAGGTTTTGAGAGAACTTTACTAAAATATCCAAGGACTCTTTCCTGTCCTCCTTGAATCTGAGACAGCACTCCTCTAATTCCCACATTACTTGAATCTGTATCTAAGATGAACTCTCCTTCTGGCAGTGGATACCCTAAAATTGGTGCGGTGATTAAATGCTTTTTTAAGGTCTCAAAGGCATTCTGGCAGTCTACATCCCAGCGGTATTCTCTTGCTTCCTCTGTAAGTCGCATTAATGGTTTAGAGATATCTGCAAACTTCTTAATAAACCTCCGGTAGTAAGTACATAGTCCCAGAAAACTTCTCACTTGGTGTTTGTCAGTTGGTTTTGGCCATTCCTTAATAAAATCGATTTTTCCCTTATCCACGGCCACTCCTTCTTTACTGACTATATGACCCAGATAATTGACTTTACCTTGAAATAGCTGGCACTTCTTGGGGTTTAACATCAATTGAGCAGCTTTAAGTCGATTAAAAACGTTTTCCATGATGATTTTCCGTCGAAAGTTGGGACTTTAACATGAACAGAAACTCCACTTCCTTCAAATTTCGGCCGTGTTTCTAACTTACATTTCGTCTCGTCTTCTTTTGTCTCTATGGTAATTGAATTGTTTACTCTCTCGGCTGTTCCTGTTCCCTCAATCTTCCTTTCCAACTTTTTCCATATCTTCTCTTCGAAGGCCATCATATCGGCAGCAACTTGGTTTTTTAACGAAGACAATCTGTCATCGAGGGCTGACATCTCAGAAGTGACTTTAGAGATTTCCAAGGAGATGTTAGCAGAAACTTTGCTTTCTAGAGAAGAAATCTCGTTAGAAACTTTGTCTTCTAAAGAGGCGATGTCGCCGCAAACTTTGGCTACATCAGAGGAAACTTTGGCTACATCAGAGGAAACTTTGTTAATCGATGAGATGACAGCATCTTCAAATACATAAGTTTCCGGATCTAAACCCTCTTCCTCCAAAGCTTTCTTTTGTCGTTGGACTAACTCAGCCTTTTTTCCGGTAGAAGCTAATTCTCTGTCCTCAAGATGCCTTTTTAAATTCGTAACTGTGAGCTCGTAAATCGTAGCTATGTTCACCAATTTATTTATAATCCCACTTTTTTTTATTTAAAGTATCTCACTTCTAACACCACTGTACTATTTTTATTAGTCCTAATTTATTGTCTTTATTCTAATTTATTGTCTTTATTCTAATTTACTGTCTGTATTCTAATTTATTAAAACTCACGGTAATTTATCAAAACTCTTTATTTTATACTAATTTATTTTACACTTAATAATTACAAATAATTCATTTGCGTTCGAACAATTTTAAACCGATATCGCGAGCTTCTTGTTGACTAACTGTCCTCAATGAGAATTCCCGTTATTTATTTGAAACGCCGTTATCTGGAAGGATCTGGCGTGAAATAGACGGAAGTTGAAATGAATAGTCTCGAACCTGTTTCCAGAAAGATCGAGGAGTAGTTGATCGCTTTCATATCGAAGGGGGACCCATAGTGTCAGGTAGGCTTTTTACCTGCGTCTCGGCCGGTTCGTGATCTAGAAAATACGTGATTAGTCATAATGTATTTACAGTTTTTACACGTCATAATATATTCATTATTTATATCGTAACACGATAAAAACAACATGATACGGTATTAAGAAGCACTGAAAATCGAAGACAATTTTGAACAGTTAATAACTTCTTTTATCTTTATTTTTAATTTGTATTTACGCATGTTTTGTTTAATTTCAGAGACGCTCCCAATGGCAATTCAATGCCTCCAAATCCAGTTACTGTCACCGCTTATGATGATTATGGACTAGACGACATGACACGCCAACGTCATGTATACGAAACCGCCTTTGATTGTCGGATAAGTAAATCTGACGATGATCTAGATCAAATTGAGAAAGTTACTAACCATCCTGTTCTCGTCCATATTAATAAGACTTGGGACAAAAGCCAAGGTTCAGAGCCATCCATAGATAGTAATTCGCTGAATAGAAGACACCGAGGAAGGGAAAGAGAATGTACAAAATCCAGCCATGAGGACAATAATTCGTCGGTGATAGCTTTAACTCATGATATTCAAGTAAGTTAAAAATTTAATAATATTATTCATTTAGGAAGTCCATAATCATTTGTCGTAAGAGATACGAAAAAATTAGGTAAAAGTTGCAGCATGGATAGAACCATCCCTTAAAAAGATTTTCAAATATACTGGGCCACCAATATTATCAGGGGATGAACTTATCTATTTCTAATGTAAAACCCTGTATATTTTTATATTTGTAGACTCATCCCGATGTGTTCGTTTTTTTAATATAAGGTATGATAGTATTATACTCAGTAGTTTAAAATATAATTACGTTTTTTATTAATTTGGCAGCAAATTTAACAAATTTTAGAATTGTAAAGATTTGGCATCAAAAATGTTTAGAAGATTTTTAATATAGTATACTCTTATTGTCTAAAATATTTCGTTAGTGTCTAATTAATATAGCAAAATATTTAGTTTTTGATACAGGGTTGGTCGAAACTTGAGTATTTTTGAGTTTTCTTAACCGGAGCACTCTGTATTTTAGTTTTGTAATTAAATTTTATTTTATGATACTTTAATATTTATTAAGCATTATTAACCATTCCAAGAGTTATTTTTGATTTTTTTTGCCAAACATTAAAATAAAAATTAGTTTTTTTTTATTAAATTTTCAAATTTACAATCTGGTATTGGAAGCTGTTAGTGAATGTGAATATTGTAGAGACATGAGACGAGAAAATATTCACGAATAACACTCCCAATACTAACATTAAAAAATAAATTATTGTTGGATTTAATTTAAAGGTAATTTTAAAATTAAAATTAAAATTAAAATTAAAGCTGAAATTGAGCCTCGGGAATCCGGAACAAGCAACAAGAATTTATGGAGAAATTCGTAAATCGAAAATTAGATTGCCATTTTCTCTTAGGCCAAGAAAAAAGGAAATGGCATCGAAAAATAAAAGACTATGTACATTTCTTCTCAGGAGTGGGAAAGGATTAAAGAGCAAGAGCAGGGATATCAATTATTGTACACAAAAAGTTCGAAAAATATATTAAACCTTGGGAAGCATAGAACTAACGTTTTATTAAAGTAACGATTTTTTTAAGAGGAACACAAATAACAATTCTGGGGGATATGCCGTAAATGATGACTACTCAAGTACAAGAAAAGAAAGCTTTTGAAGAAGACTTTAGAAAAATCCTGAACGAAATTCCTAACAACCATAAGATTATATGCGGAGAAGACCCTAATGCCAGAGTAGGAAAACAAGTACAAAGTAAAGTGGTAGGCATGCATGGAGAAGAAACTGTAAACAACAACGCAGAAAGACTCATAAATATATGCCAACAATATGAATTAAAGATTTTTAATGGTTTTTTCGCCCACAAGAACATACATAAATACACCTGGTATTAGTACACAAGAGATCTAAAATCGATAATAGATTATTTCATAACAAGACAACAAACTTAATTAAGAGTATAGGACGTAAAGGTGAATAGAGAAGCAGAATGCGGCTGGGGCCACTGCCTGATAATAGGAAAAATATATACACCATTCGTAGACAAGAACCACACAGGCATCAAAAAATAACACAAAGAAAAAATAGAAAGAACTACATTCACCTTAGACAATCTATATAACGAGAGCACACAGTTTCTTTACTCCTGGAGACTAACACAAAAACCACAGGAATCACACAGATCAACGACGGATGAATACGAACATATAAAAAACTGCATGAAAGACGCAGCGCTTAAAGCTTTAGTGACACTGGTACAGAGAGTAGATAAACCATATTGGTGGGATAAAGAAGTGGAAGAAAGATAAAAAGAAAGAAGGAAGTATATCGAAAGTTACAACAGGGAGACGAACAAACAAAATAACAATATAAAAACTTGAATAACGAAGTCAAACGAGAAGTGGTTAAAAGGAAAAATAGTGCATGGAAACAAAAATGCCAATACCTAAACAACCATATAGGAGGAACAAAGAGCTCTGAAGCCTGGGAGAACTATAATAATGATGAGAACAAAGACAAAAAACCTAGTCATAATAAATAGAATACCAGAGAACACATGGGTAGAGCGTTTTAAAAACTTATTAACAGATAGAAGAGAAAGGTTTAAACAGACAAATAAACAAGTGGAAGTAGAAGAAAGAATAAAAATATCAATAGAACAAGTGAAAGAAGCAGTTAAGGGAATGAAATTAAGAAAATCTCCAGGCCCAGGTGAAATAAATCCAGAGTTGATTAGGTATGGATCATCAAAACTGTTTGAAATGATCAGAAAATTATTCGAAAGATGCTTAAACGGAGAAGAAGTTCCAGTAGAATGGAGACAATCGTATATTTCTTCAATACACAAGAAAGGTACAAAGATGGATCCTAAAAACTATAGAGGGATCGTAGTAATTGCTACTATAGACCGACTATACTTAAAAGTACTACGAAACCTGATAGAAAATTATAATAAAGACAAACAACCCGAAGAACAAGCGGGATTTAGGGCCGGACGCTCAACTATGGATAATATTTTCACATTAAAAATTGCAATGGAAAAACGAGTGCAGAGAAATAGAGAAGCCCATATAGCTTTAATAGATTTGGAAAAAGCATATAACAGTGTACTGATCTTCCAACTATGGATAGAAACGGGTATCTTAAAAATACACCCAATTCTTATTAACGCCACTCAAAAATACTACTAACAAAATTTTGCAAGAATTAAAATGGGATAAGAGACCACCTCTTCTTTTCAAACAACAAAGGGACTAAGACAAGGCTGCTTTCTGTCACCGACCTTATTTAAAATCTATTTGGACAGATCCTTAGTGAAATGGGTAAAAAAATGTAGAAACATGGGAATAATGGTGGAAGAAAACACGCTATATACACTTTTCTTTGCGGATGACCAGGTAGTAATTGCCGAATACATCTTCTGATCCTGCAAATCCTGAAGACAGATCCTGAAGACAGATCCTACAAATATTTGGGGGTCATTTTCAACAAGAAGGGAAATAGCACAGATGAAATCAGGGAAATAATAAACAAGGGCAGAGCAGCGACCCGTGCCTTAAACTCTCTTCTCTGGCAAAAAACAATTCGACGAGAAACCAAAAAACACATTTACGGTAGTATAGTCCAAAGTATTACACTTTACGATTGGGAAGTATGGGACGTCACCAAAGCTAATAGAAACAAACTTATGACGATATAAACGGATTATCTGAGACGAAGCTGCGGCAGATAGAAACTAGATAGAGTTAGAAACGAACAAATAAGAAACAAAATGAAAATGGAGCGAAATATTAATGATGACATAGAAAGAAAACAAGTAATCTGGTTCGGACATGTTAAAAGAATGCCAGAGTACAGATCGCCTAGAAGGGTACTGGAATGGAGTTCTCCTAAAAAAAGAATGAGAGGACGACCACGGAGAAGTTGGAGCAACGATATTGATAAAGTAATGGCGGCAAGAGACTTAGAAGAGGCAACTGCATATGACAGAAAAAGACGGAAATTGAGGGCGGAGAAGCGGCGATACCCGTAGTCAATCCGTTATTATATATACATATATATATATATATATATATATATATATATATATATATACATACATATATATATATATATATATATATATATATATATATATATATATATATATATATATATATATATATAAGCTGGAATTAAATACGGAAGTCTGTCGGCCAGTGTCTCTCCAATATTCGTCTGACTTCTGGTTGGAGATAGATGTTGGAAATTTTCCTTTCTTTCTCGTTGGGGTGAGCTGGCAGGTGTTCTCGATATAGTTTTTTGTTGATTTCTTGTGCAACGAACGGTATACCATAGTTATCATGCAATATTTTGTTACTTAGGTACCATGGCCCGTTAAAAATCATTCTAAGTATCTTGGATTGGATTATCTGAATGATTTTAGTATTAGAAGGCTTGGCACAGCCCCATAATTGCAGTCCATATGTCCATATGGGCTTTATTATGCACCTATATACTAGAAGTTTATTAACTGTAGATAGCTGAGAGTTTCTGCCTATTACGCAATTCATCAGGTATTTTCATGTTGATATAGGTTTTTTTGCCAAGATGTGTGCTTTCGAAGTGAGCTTTTGGTCAAGTGTCATTCCCAGGTATTTGACTTCTATTTTCACTGGTAGTAATATATCGTTCGGTGTGATTCTCAGGCATATGACGTTTCTGGTCGTGAATGTAATTTAATTAGACTTTGTGTGGTTAACTTGATTTTCCATCTATTCATCCAGTCTTGTAGTAGATTCAGGTGTATTTGAATGTTCGCGAATATGGCGAATATATATGCGAATATGGCTACTGAGTAGTATTTGTTGTTGGGATATCAGGGCTATATATGAAGTACAGTAGGGGACGAAGTACACTTCCTTGAGGGACACCGGATTTTATGGGATAGCAATAAGAGGTTTCTGTAAGAAATCTAACTTGAAAGTGACATTCTGTGAGACATAATTTTAAAAGTAGATAGTGACGTGTGAAAAAGAATTACTTAAGTTTAGGAGACCACCATGGCAAACACCGTCGAATGAATTTTACACGTCTAGAAAGGTAGCCGTGCATATATTTTTTTTTTCGATACATATATTAATCTTTATAACAATCCTATAACGCTGTTGTAGAGTTGAATTGGCTTCGCGAAAACTGAACTGGTGTGCTGGGATTACTGAATTAATTTCGATGTCTTCTGAGATTCTTTGGAACAGATGCCTTTCTAAGATTTTTGACATTATTGAACATACCTGTGGCTGGAGTTACACAAAGATTTAACGAAGAAACGCTCAACGACAACGGAGAAAGACATCTAGAACTTTGTTTAATGAATAACCTCCGAATTAACAACACATAGTTTGACCACCCAATACAACATAAGATCGCCTGGTCAGATACCAGAGGACGTAACTCTACGATTGACTACATTATAACAAACAGACAAATACGCCCCAAGAATATAATAGATGTGCGCAC